ATATAACAGGGTATATCTTGGGGTTATATTGGGATAATGGAAAATAAGATGGAAACTACTTTAATATAACAGGGTATATCTTGGGGTTATATTGGGATAATGGAAAATAAGATGGAAACTACTTTAATATAACAGGGTGTATCTTTGGGTTATATTGGGATAATGGAAAATAAGATGGAAACTACTTTAATATAATGGGGTATATCTTGGGGTTATATTGGGATAATGGAAAATAAGATGGAAACTACTTTAATATGACAGGGTATATCTTGGTGTTATATTGGGATAATGGAAAATAAGATGGAAACTACTTTAAAATAACAGGGTATATCTTGGGGTTATATTGGGATAATGGAAAATAAGATGGAAACTACTTTAATATGATGGGGTATATCTTGGTGTTATATTGGGATAATGGAAAATAAAATGGAAACTACTTTGAGCTGATCAAATTGTGCTAGCTGTGATAATCCAGCTCTGAAGACACAGGCCGCTCAACTCTTCACTCTCAGTCCAAGTTGTGGAACTCCAGGATATGACCAGCAACTGCATGGTTTGAATAGGCCAACAACTCATCACCGTAGCCTTGCCTACTCCAGAGACAAAGACCGCAGGGTTCGGCAACCTACTCGCCTGTCCATTCTCGCCAGGATCTTCCTATGGCTTTTCACAGCGCTGTCCTCTTTCGTCCTGCTGAACTTGGTCACCGCAGTGATTGTCCAGCTTGTGCCCAAGAAGGAACCGACAGGGTTTTAGGGGTTTAGGAGGTTGCTCTTGATGAGAGCTGTAATCTAAACTCCTTAAAGGGGGTTATATAGGGGATTATGTAGGAGACTAGCATAGGGGTTACTAAGGGGGATACTAGGAGTTTTGACTATAGCTTATATGTCCAGCTCAGCTGGGAGTTGCTCCACGACGGGGTCCCTTTTCTACTCTCAAAAGAAAAGCGTGTTTGTCAGTCTTGTTCTCCTACAAAAGGCACCTCACATCCCTGGGATTTCCCTGTAGTATAGTCCCCCTTAAGTAGATAGAATGTGGCTTTGGGTATATTTTTAATAAGATCCCCATATACCCCATATTCTATCTACTTAAGGTGCCCTAAACCCTAGACCCTATATAACCCATTATAGTAGTTTCCATTTTCTTTTCCATTATCCCTATATAACCCCAATAATATACACCATATTCTATCTACTTGAGGGGGACTATAAATCCCAGGGCTGGTGGGCCTCGGGTGCAAGAGATCGGTTGGCACCCGATGGCTCCGTTTGGACCCTCAACCTGATAGGTTCCTGAACAGCTGCAAAAGTAGGCCGGCACCGCAGCCTCACAGAAAGTGACTAAGGAAGACAGCGGGAGGAAGCCAGCAATGAAGCACTGGCAGGCACCATGAGGAGTGCAGTTCTCCCCAAAAATAGTCTTGGAAATAACCAACAGCCTCACGGAATGCCAGCAATCAAGCGGCCTCGGAGACACTCGATGGTGCAAACGCTGGTCTGTGACGAACACCCAGCGTCACGACTGACATTCGAGTTTTCCCGCACAACAGCTTCTGAGAAAGCCAGCACCTCCGACATCGCGTCATGCCCGCTCCCCATCAAAGATTTAGATCGACTCCAAACTCTAAACCCAAATTCCTGAATCCTGAGCTTGAACAAACACACTAGAAACCCTCAGACCCTGAAAATGTCTGAGGCAGGCCATGGACATGTCCAAGGGTGATGAAAGGGAGTCTTTGCCTTGGACTGCTCGGCGTGTTCAGTGATTCGGGGTCGAGAGGTTCAAGCTTAGCTTAGGCTTGAGGTTTTAGGGTTTAGAGTTTAGGTTCTAGGGTTTAGGGTTCAGGGTTTAGGTTTAACGAGTGGTGGTGCAAAGCACCCCCAGTATGTTGATGACAATGGTCACCATCCTTGTAACTGTACCTCTAGCTACCCGGTAGCACCCTAAAGTGAATGATGTCTAGATGACTTGGCGGAAGCGGTCCCTGCAAGCAAAGGTGGATGTCGTTCTTGAGATAGTTCATCCAACCTGCAGGTCAATGGGACTCAATAGCTACTCATAAGCTTGCTTATGGGGATAAAACACTACTAATAATGATACTAACAATAATACTAACACTAGTACTAATAGTATTCGTAATAGTCCCTCGAACCTACAAGTACGGTCAAACTCTGGGAACGCACACCGAGGGGCCCGGATCCTAACAGTTGGAACACCATATAGAGGTTACATAGGGAGTAAGTACATTGGAGTACTATAGGGAATATGGTAGTATATAGGGGCTATATAGGGATAGTGGAGAGGACAATGGAAACTACTATGCTATCACAGGGTATATAATTACTGGGGTTCGGCAACCCGAAGCTTCTTGATGTTTCAGGGGAAGAGCGGGGGGAATATAAGTACTATTCTATGGAATTGGATATTATAAGAACCTCTTTGCCACCCTCCCTTAAGCACAACTAAGTCAACAGTAGAGGCGTGACATGTTGATGCGAGAGTTTCTCCGTTTTAGGCTTTCCGGATGTCCACCCCCAAAACATCCAGAACCCAAAAGGGCCCACAGTGTTCAAAATTCCAAACATCTACATATACAGGTATTTAGATGTATATATGTACATGAATACCCTACATACATCTTTTGCAACTCTCTCAACCCCCCAAAACACCAATGATTTTCAGCTTTATGAATGCGTATACACCCCCCCATTCTCATCTTCTACCCTAAACCCTAAACCTAAACCCTAAACCCTAAATCCTAAACCACCCCCTTCAAGATGGGGCTGACGCGTGCAAGGATGGCAATTCTGCGCAAGCGGGAGCAGGAAAGGGAGATGAAGGAGCTGGAGGAGCCAGGGGCCTATTCGCAGTTTAGGGTTTAGGGTTCAGGGTTTCAACGCTTCGCCCCCTCGTCTCGCCGAGTGGGCGAGAGGGGCAAATGCAGCCAAGGGACAAAAATTCTGAGAATTTCCACACGAAACGTGTTTAAGGAAGTCTGAAAGAGGCTTTATGC